ATTCTAGCACATGGTGCTATATGACCTCATGCTACAGAGAACAAAATTCTTAGCTCTTGCTAGATCGGCGGCTCAAGTGAAAAGGAAGCGCGAGGAAGATCGCAGATCAGGAACTCCGCTCCAAGCGGAAAATTTTCCAAGTAAAAAAGCTAGAGATGGGATTAATGATTTGCGATTCTGAAATGATAATCGAGAAGTGATTTAATAAATACAATCGAATGGTGAAACCGTTACAACTATTACTATTTCTATTATTATTATTATTTTTTTTTCTTTTTTTTTATCCCACGGGTTCGACTGATGATGTCATTTGCCGTATCCCTCCTCCATATATAGGACATGTCATTGTCACCCAGGGGAAGATCTGAGTGCATTTTATCACAGGTAATCATCAATCATCAATAATATATTTAAAGTCTCGATGTATTTAATAGGTGGGTTCTTTTCTCACTTTTCAAGTATCACTCAGTGTGTGTCTTGGATAATGAATTATATTTTATATTATATATATATATTAGTTATTGATTTATTTATATAAGCTATATTATGGAATATCTTATTCAGGGTTTAATAAGTGTATCTATCATCTTACATGTATATTTTCAGGAAAACTTGTATTTCTCTTAAGAAGTTAAGGATGTTTCTCATGCTACTGGCGTCAGTGCCACAGAGCCCACGTTGTAGTCTGTTAATAATGTCAAACGATTGGCGAACTCTAGAATATGTTAGGCATTCCAAGAATATGTGGCCAATTGTTAGCTGAGTTTGGCAGTTTTCGCATTGCGGTGGATCCAGACCGCGAATGAGATGCATGTGTGTTATGTTGCAATGGCCTACGCGTAATCGTGTAAGCGTCACCTCTTCTCTTCGTAGTAGTGATGGGAGGTGCCATTTTTTAACTGTAGGTTTGTATCTTTTGAGGGTAGTTTCGCATTCATTCCATCTTTCTTGCCACACAGACATCAACTTATTCTTCAGAAAACTTTTCAGGTCTTCCGGGTGGACCAGGTTGTTGGCGTTGACAGTATCAGTTGCTGTATCTCGGGCCAATTCGTTAGCACTTTCATTACCTGGAATCCCTACATGACCTGGAGACCATATAAAGATCACATATTTCTGATCTGATTCCAGCAAGACAAGCCAATGAAGTATTTCTTGAATCAATGGGTCAAAGTAATTTGTGGCAGATAGATTGAATTGCACTAAAGGAATCGCTGCAGATTAGGTAAGTACCTGCTTCATTGTGGTTATTTATATATTCCAGGGCTTTAAGCAATGCAAGTTGCTCGGCTCTGAAAACCGAGGTCATGGGATGTAGTTTAAATTTTTGCTCGTGACCGTTGATGTATAGGCACATCCTACGCTATCAGCTAACTTTGATCCATCAGTATAGATAATATTTTTAACGTTTGTGTAACTATTTACATTGTCATTAAACAATGCAAGAAATAAGGAGCTATTGGTTTCATCCTTCTTGCACCGTGCACACTGCAAGTCCAACACAGGTTTATTTATTGTCCATGGTGGCGTTGAGCTATGTTTTAGATTATAAATGTCAGGAAGTTCGAGGTCGATGCTATTAAAAATTTCTTGAATCCTTACACCTGAAGGTCGTGTTATGGTAGGTCTGTCCAGGAAGGTTTGGTTGATTGCTTGGTCGTATAGGATGTTGTAGTTGAGATGAGGTGGGTGTGACCAAATCTTTACACTATAATTCATAGTCAACTGTTGGAGCCTTATATCAAGAGGAGGAATACCTGAATCGCAGTATACCGCTGACGAGGGACTTGTTCGAAAAGCTCCGATACATAATCGCAGACATTGGTTATGTATCTGATTAGACAGAACAAGTGACCGATATAACGAGAGAAGGGTATCCCTGTCAGCACCCCAGTTTATGTCCGATATGCATTTCAAGATGTTCATAGACTTCTTGCATTTCACCATCAGATTATTGACGTGTTCTTTCCAATACAGCTTTCTGTCGAAAGTTAGCCCCAAAAGCTTAACAGTATCATTGATATGTATTGCGGTGTTTCTCAGTAGCAGGTGAGGATGATTGTGAGCAGTTCGTAGCCTACAAAAATGAATGGCGGTGATGCTGAGAAGCGGAAACCAATACTTTGAGCTTCTGTAACTAGGCTGTTTATTGCTGCTTGGAGTTTAATCACGATGTTCGACATATCTTTGTCCCAGTAGAAGATCGTGAGGTCGTCTACGTATAAACATTTTCCAATGTCTGGATCTATTGTACCTATAAGAAGGTTTACGGCTATCAGGAATAGCGTTACGCTGATGGTGGAACCCTGAGGTATACCGTTCTAGAGAGTATGTGGCTGAGAGAGGTGTTTGCCGAGCCGGACTTTGCATGTTCGGTTTTCTAGGAATTTGGAAATGAATTTGAGCATATTACCTCGTATACCCCATTCATGTAAGGTGTTGAGTATTCCACGTCTCCATGTTGTGTCATAAGCTTTTTCTAAGTCAAAGCAAACAGATACCAAATGTCTTCTTTCGGCAAAGGATTGTTGAATAGCCGTGTCTATATAGGCCAATTGATCTAAAGTGGATCTAAACTTTCGGAAACCCATCTGGTAATCCGAAAGTAGACCGTTCGTTTCTAAAAACCAGACCAGTCTTCTATTAATCATCTTTTCGAGGAGTTTACTAATGCAACTAGTGAGTGATATGGGTCGGTAGTTGCTAGGGTTTTTAGGGTCCTTTCCAATTTTTGGAATAGCCACTATGATGGCTTCATGCCATTGCTCAGGGTATATGCCTTCACTCCAAATACGGTTGAATAGTTCCAAGAGTGTATGCTGTTCGCTTTCAGGAAGATGCTTAAGCATGTCGTAGTTGATGTTGTCTGAACCAGTTGATGAAGAATTAACCTCGTTAAGAGCGTTTTGCAGTTCTAGCAATGTAAAAGGTACGTTGTATACCAATAACGAGTCATCAACTATTTCCAATATATTTTTTTCAGCCTTAGTCTTTTTAGCTACGGATGCAAGATTATAGCTATCCGAACTGCTTGTCTCTTGGAATTGTGTAGCTAATATATTACAAATGTCTTCATAGTTTGTAATTTCTATATTGTTGACTAGCAGTATGGGGGATGGAGCTTGGTAATGCGCTCCTTGAATACTTCTGATTTTGTGCCAGACTTCCGATGGTGGTGTTTCTTTAGATATGTGTGAGACGTATTCTTGCCATGATAATTTTTTACTTTTTAAAATTATGCGACGGGCTTCGGTTCTTCTTTTCTTGAATTCAATTAAGTTGTCAGTAGAGATGTTGCGTTTGAATTCTCTTAAGGCCTTATTTTTTTCTTTGACTGCTTTTCCAATCTTATCGTTCCACCATGGCACTTGCACATTTTTGATGTTACCACTTTTTTTGGGAATACTGACGTTCGCTGCACTAACTATGGCAGATGTTATAGACTGCACCGAGTCGTGTATGTTATCCTTTAAAAGGAGTTCACCAATATTATTTTTATAGGTATCCCAATTGGCTTTCTTCATGTTCCAGGTTGTATGGAATGTTCTTTCTGGACATTTTGAAGCAAAAGTGATATTTATTGGCACATGGTCGGAGTACAGATGGTCAGGCATAGTTTTCCATTCCAAGGATGATGCTAGATGATGGACAGATCGATACTACTGAAGCAGTTAGACCTGGAGTTAAGGTAATTTCCATCTCCTATATTTAAAATAATCAAATCTGATTCATCGCAGATTCTTTCGATTATACGACCTCGAACATCAAGTTGTTGTGATCCCCATAGAGGGTTGTGTACATTAAAGTCGCCCACTATGATATATGGAGTAGGCAGTTGAGTAATTATATGATTAATCTGCTTTTCATTCCAATTGAAACCTGGTGAGTATATATTACATATTGTTATTTTAAATGGAAATAGCGATTGTGCTGCTACCGCCTGTAGTGGGGTTTGAATGTGTACCTCAGTTGCCTGTAATTCACTTTTTATGAAAATTGCAACGCCTCCTTTAGATCGGTTTGTCGGGATTACGTTTCAGGAGAAAATTGAGTTTCCTGGATACATATGCAAAAGGGTGCCACTTCCGAGACTATCAATTTTAGTTCAGGGTAGTGTGCGCAGCATCCGTTCATGTTCCATTGTATTAGTGAAGACATTATGACTAGTTTGTTAAAAGAAACAGTTCGTTAGTTTGTTGTGGAGCTCAAAAGGGGCATATATATACTCGTAGAATAGATAAATAAATAAGCTAATAAATAAATGAATAAATAAATAAATAGCTAAATAAGTAAAATATATAAATAGTCTATAGAAAAAAAAATATATAGTATGTGTATAAATAAGATCAGATGTACTCACATATAATACACACATACATACATACACACACGAACATAAATATATGATAAAATATAGATTTATGTAGAAAATATCACAGGTGGCTATATCTCAATGGTAAGGTCAGTAGTTTGACTGGCTTCAGTTTCTTGATTACTTCTTGCGAAGTTGGGAGGCCTCCTGGGTTTCCCCTTCGGCCAGCCTCTTTTCTTTTTGGTAGAAGTTGATGCTTCACTGATATGTGATGATACACTTCCATCGGTATCATCGTCCCTTGTTCGGGTTCTGGTACGCTTCCTTTTTTCGGCTACAGAAGGTTGCGTTGATGTATCAGGAAAATATTGACCTGGAGGTAAGAAGGAATTAGTATTAAATTTATGCTTCTTGGTACTGATTATGTTATCCAGAGTTTCTTTTATTTTACTCTCAATAGACTTAGTTAATTGCGGTAATAACACTTGTATTATATTATTAATTGACGTACTTGTGGTCGCCGCAATTTCGGAGTAGGATTTTTGAGGAATGGGCCTGATTACTTTTTTCTTTGCTTCTAGATAGCTTAGTTTTTCCATAGTCCTACCTTTTTGAATCGATATTTCCTCCTTCATCTTAGCGCAAGCTCTTGAATTGGCTGCGTGTTGTCCTTCACAATTAACGCAATGCATAGGTGTGTCGCAAGTTGTTGTATCATGTTTGGGACGTCCGCATATACATATCTCAGAATTTGAGCATCTTTGTGAAGTATGCCCGAATCTCTGGAATTTAAACCATCTTAGGGAGTTTGGGAAATAAGGACGCACTTCGAGAGAGTAAAAGGCAGCTTTAACTTTTGAGGGTAGTTTAGGTTTTTCGAAAGTCAATAATAAGTTTGGCGTTTCGACAAGTGAGTCACCTTGTTTACGCATCAAACGTTTAACTTCGACCACACCTTCTGGTTCTAAACCCTCCAATATTTCTTCGGTAGAACTGTTAAGAAAATCTGCACATGTGATTATACCCTTTGAGTAATTGAGTGTACTATGTGGTTTTATTTCAACAATGAATTCATTCGCCTATTTTAGTCACTTTAAGGAGTCTAGACGCTTGTTGAGCGGTAACAGTTTCCACTAATAATCCGGTCTTAATTTTCTTAATTGATTTCAATTCGCCAACAATTCCGAACAACAATTTCGACAGCAAGAAGGGGCTAACCTTACCGAAGTTGCCCCCATCGATTCTTTCGACCACCAGGAACCGGGGGATGTTTCCCTCCTTTCCCTGGCTGATCTTGGCCGCTGACGCGGTTGAAATCCCAGTTTTAGGGGTATTTTGGGTTTTTGCGAGTGAATCCCGATCACTGCCCACTTTTAAGGTGGTGGGTGCACCTGAATCTTGTTTAGGCTGTTCCATAAGATATTCCAAAATTTTCACCTGCCCGGCTCCCCACCCTCCTCGGAGCCTCATTGGGAGGTTATGCCCATAATAGCAACCCGCTAAGGCACAACCCCAGGGATACCGCTAATCCGAAGGAAAGGAAGGTATAGTCCCCACAGGTAGTTCCACCATACATCGAGCATAGCGAACTATTCCCGTCTGGCTTCTACTACCTGTGGAGGCTCGCCCAACCATCCCTCCGACGGGATGGCACAGCCGATTGACCGACGCTGGGCTAGTCGCGGCCGCCCTTCTAGACTGACCGCCGGACGGGTAGGGCTCAACCACCAGGATTCCATTGGCCAGCTTACGGGTCGCCGGGCACGGCACAAACACCCGGGAGGCTAAGAGGAAGCCCCACGCGCCGCCTCCACGCATGGGGTAAGGATAGGAGAAGGAAAGTCGGGAGAGCAGCGGATATAATAAAAGGAGAAAGGATGGGAGAAAGAGGGAACGAAAAGTCCAGGGTTTGGCAGAATGAACAAGACTGCCGAACCCCGGACTCCCTGCCTGGGGCCGTGGGGGCGACGCTCCCCATGTATCTTCCCTTGAAACCGGATCAAAGATCCAGCTTCAAAAGTAGATACCCCCTGCGGGGTATTATTATTATTCTTATTTTTTAAACCCACAGCGGCATCGACTTCTACGTCATTAGCCGCTTCCCTCCTGCCTCATTAGGTCATTTTTTTTCCAAACCTAACATCTCACTGGTAGATCTGAGATGGAAATAGAAAGACACAGGACAAACATATACGGTATAAATAACAGTTAAGTATAGTATACAGACAAGTTCAATATTTACTCCGCATGTGACTGAGAATCTTTAATAGCTAAGCTGCCTCTTCAGTTATCTCCCAACTGCCATTCCTAAGGACAATCCATGAGTCTAATCAACGTAAGCATACACTCATATGTACATAGATACACACATACATACGAGTATATGATCGCTTGTAATGACGTGATATCCACGTGCATTCCATTTTATTTTTCAGAGCTGTCCAGTATGGTATAAGGATAATAAGGTAAGTACAGATAGGTATGGGATGTAGGTCAGAATGCGTCGTAAAATGTTGATGTGGAAGTGGCTGGAGGCGTAACGAAATGGGAGTATCTATATCTTGGTGTATGTATCCGAGCGCAGCAGGAAATCCATAACTTTTGGCCATTCCGTTTTGAGCAGGGTTTGTATATTGGAAGACATCTGTAGTTCACTGCGGAGATCACTGTAGATTCGACATTCCACCAGAATATGTTAAACAGTGAGGTCTGTTTGACATGCTAGACATTGTGGTCTGTGATCGCCAGCCAACAGGTACGCAGGGGTCAACTTACAATGGCCAATTCATAGTCGGCATAAGACTGTCTGCTGCCGACGATTCAGTTGCTTCGGATAAGTCCATTTTTCGATACTTGTCTGGACGGATCTCATGTGTCCGTCATATAGGTCCCATTTGTGCTGCCATGTTTGTTTTATGGTGTCTTTCCCGAGTTTTATATAGTCAGATAGCGGAGTAGGAATGCCTTCATCAGGTGGCATGGTGGCTGCTTGCTTTGCCGCTGCATCAGCCAATTCATTGCCGATAATATTCACATGACTAGGTACCCATATGAAACGGACTTTTGTGTGGTCATTTTCTAGTGAGCTGGTTAAGTTCAAGATTCGACTTATTCTTTCATCCTTGGTGAAGTTATTTCCTAGGGAGCTGATCATACTCAGAGAGACTGATACTATCGAACTCGCTAAGCTAGATGACAATGCAAAGAATAGAAGTGCCTGCCAGATGGCATAACATTCTGCAGTGAAAATACTTGAAATCGGATCCTGATTCCACATGTGGCAAACACTGTTACCTACTATTGATGCTCCTACTCCGGTATTGTTCTTAGATCCATCCGAGTATATGAAGAGATGATCGTGGAGGTGAACTGTAATTTATTTGAAATGAGCGAGATACACCTGGGGTGCTGTCTCATTTTTAAGAAATACAGAAAGGCGAATATCAAATGTGGCTTTGACCTAGTCCAAGGTGGAGTGTCGTATGGGGCTCTCTGCAGCACATCCCTTATTGATATGTTGTTCGCTTGTTGGAATTCAAGGCTATGGATTCTGGCTGGACGTGTATACGTTGGACGATTTTTATGTTCGTTATCGCTTTCCAATATACTCAGACTGGTAAGAAATTTTATTTTAGTCATATAGATGGCAGTTTGCATTTCACCTCTTAATTGTAAGGGTATTGCTGCAGCGTCACAGAGAACGGCATTTGAAGGACTCGTACGAAAAGCCTCTGTAGCCGCTCTTAGGGCTGCTTATTGAATCCTTTCAAGTGCCTTGATCTTGGATGGTCTTGCAGAATTGTAAACAACTCTGGCATAGTCAATTCGAGACTCGATTAGGCTCTTATAAACCTTTATGAGAGCTTCGCGGTCTGAACCCCATCGGGTATTTCCTATGCATTTGATCAGGTTGAGAGATTTTCTACGAGTTGTGAGATGTTCAATTTGATCCTTCCAGTAGAGCTTGTGGTCAAAAATAATGACCAGGAACTTCACAGAGTTTTCAGCTTTTATAGTTTGTCTGCTCAGTGTGAGAGTAACTTGGGGATGTGCTGTGCGAAGTCTGCAAAAATGCATGCACGTCGATTTTGCTGCTGAAAAGGAATACCCTCTATTCCTTGCTCTAGTGTCTAGTCTATTTATTTCATCCTGCAAATGGTCAAAGTTTCCATTAAGTGCGGAGGTGGAGAATATGCAGAGCTCGTCTACATATAAGAGGGGTTGAATGTTCGGAGGAATGCTATCAACCAGGAAATTAATGGCTACGATGAATAGTGAAATACTTAGAACGGATCCTTGTGGAACGCCATTTTCCAACCTCCTAGTCGAGGACCTGGAGTCTCCGACCTGGACTCGAAATGAGCGATGAGACAAGAAATTTTGGATAAGTTTTGGGAGTTTGCCTCGAAGTCCCCATTCGTGGAGCTGTTTCAGAATACCGAAGCGCCAGGTCATGTCGAACGCTTTTTCCAGGTCAAACATGACTGCCGTTAGGTGTTGCCTTTTAATGAATGCATCCTGGACTGCATTTTCAAGATTTACGAGTGCATCTACCGTGGAGTGGTGCTGCCTGTAGCCGACCTGATTGAGATCAGCTGGTTATGTTCTAGGTACCATACTAGTCTAAGACATTCATTCTTTCAAAGAGTTTTCCCAGGCAGCAGGTTAGCGACACAGGTCGATAGCTGTTAGGTGAGGTAGGGTCTTTACCGTCTTTGAGAATGGGTACTATAATGGCAACCTTCCAGGCATCAGGGTATATACCTCGCACCCACGCATTATTGAATATCTGTACTAACTGCGTTTTGACAGACCTTGGAAGGTTTCGAATCATGCAGTAAGGTATCATATCTATACTCGGTGCAGAGTCTTTACAGTTCTCTAAGGCATACTCGAGTTCTTCATATGAGAATGGTGCATTGTATAGATGTAGTTCTGATGTGTCAAAATTGATTCCCTGTGCTTCGGTATTTAGTTTGAGCTGCTGAAAGTTGGGATCATAATCTGCATTGCTGCTAGCGTGTTCAAACTGGTCTGCAAACGTGTCGCATATGCAAGAAACATCCTTGATTACCGAGTTAGCTACCTTTAAAGCGCTTTGGGGTCTAAGCGAATTCCTGCCTGCAATAACATTGATCTTTTGCCACATCTGTTTGATAGGTGTTTCAGAAGTTATGGACGAGACATAAGTTTGCCATGATTTCTTTTGGCTCTCATTTATGAGTCTTCGTGCTTTTTAGCACGTAGTTTTTTGAAAGAGATCATGTAGGCCATGGTTGGGTTGCGCTTGAATCTATTCAGAGCGGTTTTCTTCTCGTTGATTGCATTCCGAATGTTTTCATTCCACCACGGCGCAGCTTTATTAGATGAGGTCCCGGATGTCATGGGAATGCTAATCTTTGCTGCATCGGTTATAGCGTGTGTGATATCGTCCACTGCTGTATTATTGTCTTCAGTTGGAGGAGGGATACGAAGGTGCTCAGAAAATGTGTTCCAATCAGCTTTCGCAGTCAACCATCTTTTATGTAACGGATAGAAAAGTTTGGGGACATCCGTTGTTATGATGTTTGGAAAGTGATCACTAAAATTGAGATCTTCCAAGACCTTCCAGGATAAGCTAGTAGCCAGTTGTGGTGAGCATAGTGAGAGATCTATAGCAGAAGATCCAGCTGTTCCGATATCGAAGTGTGTAGGAGATCCTGAGTTCAATAGAACTAAGTTCGATGAGTCAATGTATTTCTCTATAGTTCGTCCCCGGATATCTCTGCGCTTAGATCCTCAA